TTTCTCCGATGTTCATAATTATGTGTAATTTTAATTCGGCCGTGTTAGCAGATTTAATTATTTACTGTTGTTACAAATATAGACTAATATTATATATATATATATATATATTATATAGCAGTGCTACTGGTAGTAACAAAAGTGTTGTTACTGCTCACTTCACATACATGCAAGATTTTTAGTGATTCAAACATGAATTCAAACAACAAATTAATCACGTATACATCCCTTCAAAATAAAACTCAATATTTCCGGTGAATATTCGCATATCAAACCTATAATTAGCTTTCTTTAGATCTTTAGAATCCGTTTTTTTGTCCCTTCTCATTGTACGGAAGACCAAAATAAGATTGAACCGTCGACGTCCCACGTGTAAGATGGAAACTCCATCACATGAAATAAAATCAACGAAACGATCTTTACCATAAACCATAAGAAACAAATTGTTATACAAATTGAGCTCACTGGTAAAAACTTTAAGAACCTCCCTCCCAAAAAACAACAACACAAAAACATACACGCACGCACGCACACACCAACACACACGCACACACACCAACACACACGCGCGCACACACACACACACACACACACACACACACACACACACACAAAAAAAAAACACACAAAAATCAATCAAACAAACAAGTAACCTTTCTAACAATCCGTCTCAATCATCTCATAGACTTTCCAAGATCTTCAATCAGTTAGGTGGATTTTTCTTTTCGGCGCAAGAATGCAGTCATATATAATGTCATCGCAATATGTAACAATATCTCATAATGCAATACAGCGCAACACCACTGATATGACATAATCCCCAGGCTTAGTTGCCAATTACTATACATGTGTAAAAATGAGAATATGAATCAGCATGGTAAAGCGACGCTACAGAACGCAGCCCCGAAACAACCCAGTCACACCAGCAGGACACCTAGAAAGAACCGAACCAAAAAACGGGAGTGGGCACCAGTGCGTTGAAAGGAGAGGAGGGAGATGAAATAAGTGAAATGATAAGAACTAAAAGGGCCGATACAGGAATCAAAGGGACAATAAAAGAGGGAAAGGGCACAGAATGGGATATAACGGGGAACGGAAAAAATATTTACTGCTACCGACAATTTAACAAGACATGACATCATAACACGAAACAGTATACAAGACATACACGTGAAACATGTAAAGGAACACAAAGGGGTGCCGCCTTAAATTTGGAACGGTCAGTAGTAGTCACTCGGGGGTGTAGACCGGTTATAGGCGCACCATACCTCATTCTTAGCACCAAAATATGTTCCTATGTGACGAGATGTAAATAAAATGAATCCAGCCAAGTGAGATTCTAACAATTGCCATGGTTTTATAAGATGAAATAAATAAAACATATAAATGATCATGTAAATATATAATAACAAAAGTACTCAATGCCCTAAAGGAAGGCAGAGCAACAAGAAAATCGCCTACAAGGGCCAGTCCGGAAGCCTCCAAGAATTGTCCATCAAATGAGGAAAGCGTAGCGTCTAACTGTAAAAGGGTTGAATTCCAAGCATGAGGTGTCCTGAAAATAATTGGATCATAGCCTCTTTTAATAAAACGTTTGACAATTTTGGTGAAGACAGAAGAAAAAATAATATTGCCAAAAAGTTTATAAACCAGACTTCCATAATTAACAGATTTGTTGATACCTAGTCGTAAAATAGTTTTTAAATTCAAATTAGATTTTAAAATTAAAACTGAATTACGATGGTAGAACTTTGTAAAACATTAACGCAATTTATGATAGCGATAGCCTTGTTAAAGAAGTTTGCCAGTAATAAATAAATTGTATTCAGTGAAGTCATTCACACGACTACACGTCCTAGCAAATCTAATTAACTGATTAATGATATATTTTTTAAATCCAAAAACAGATGTACATGGTAGTAATGTCTGTAGAGTGTTTCATTTAATTCAAGTTCACCAGTAACCATTTGATCAAAATAAGGATTATTTATTTTATGTATATCATCTAGGCAGCGGGAAGATGTATAACTTTCTGTTGTGAATTTGAAGAGAGACTTAATATAACATACGTCTCGTAGCAATGTAAAAATAAATCATCTATCAGTTCCTATTGGAATGCCTATTATATATATGTTTAAAAACTGTATTACCAAACATTGATGTTATCTAATAAAAACGAGAGTTCTTTAATTACAATTCTTAAAAAAAGCCTTCTTTGAATTGTACGCAAGAAAAAAAACTTTTTCTCTTACAAAAGTTTTTTTTTAAATTAAAAATGATAAGTTTATGTGACAATGGAGTATATGGTAAAGAAACCATAAGTACTAACGGATGAAGCTCGATATAATTCCTACATTTGAATTCATCCAAAATTTCACTCGAGTTTTTAATAGACCATTTCTAAAAGATGTTTGCCTGTATTTTCATAAACTTTTTCATAACAATATCTTATGACATACACGCTTTAATGGCAGTCAGACAAAAAGTCAATAAAAAGTTGTACTGTCATCAACGTTTTTATAATAATAATAATAATAATAATAATAATAATAATAATAATAATAATAATAAAGACTTTATTTAACGAGAGAACTCATTTGAACAATAATTGTGTGTGTCACTGTCTAGAGATGGCAAAATAATGCGAGCATATATAGTACAATGAAGTAATTCGCCTACCCTACAGTTTTATCTGCATAAGAAGACAAGCAGTTTTATCAAGGGGCAGGACGTGAAGTGGTTGCACACTTGGTTCAAGCGAGCGAATTGGTTGCAAACTTGAAAAAATGGAGAACTCGGCGTAATTTTTTGAAACGGGTGAACGAATTTTTGCCAGGCAAATGGGTTTCTTTGTTATTTTGAAGTTCATTAGTATGTCTATTCCATACTGCAATATATATGCCACACTCGGTTAAAGGTTTCACCATCATAGATTCTGTTTTGACGAAGTTATTGAAGATATAAACTGATCATGTATATATTTTGAAATTTGACATGTGACTGTTCTGGTCGGGTTTTCTCCTAATTTATTCGAATTTGAAAGTTTTATCAGCATTTAACAATAACAAAATATGTTTCTGTCAATGCTGTACAAATGGTTTAGTTCGCAAGTCCGAAGATAACGTTCAATACACAAACATATCTTGTTCAAGCACATTTTGGTTGCAGACTTATACTTCAAGCATTTTTGGTTGCAAACTTATTCTTATTCTATTGAAATCCATAGTAAAAATTTGCAAAAGGAGTGTAGAAGGTTATATTTATTTTCAATGGCGATTATTGACATTTATGTTCCGTTACTTGTTTTTGTTATAAATGTTATTTAAACTTTCTTCTTTTACAACAATTATGCACTTTAAGTTTCAAATTACATGGTTCTCAGTTCAATACTATAATCATCAGTAAAAGCCTACAAACAAAATAATAGCATATAGAAAAATATTCATTGATACTTCAATTCTAAAATATGTCATCATATGTAAAATGCAAATGAGAACTACATACAAAACAAGCGTATGTGAGAGTACTGTTGTATATAAGTGAATTACTTTCATCATAAACATAAGGACATGTGCACACATACGATGTTACTCGGCAAAATTTCCAAAGTTTATCAAAACCACAAAAAATGTTGTAATTTGTTTGTTTCGTATGTAAAGATCAGCAGTTGCTTTAGACATAAAATATGTAAATGTACTTTAAATATTTTTACAAACCAAAAGTTAAAAGGACATGTTTGTTTACAATATTTCGGATTTGATCTACATGAATATCATATGTCAATTGGTATTCTAAAGATATTTTTGATTATTAGATCATAATATAAATGATATACGATTGGTTATTCACGTTGACTGATACGTGACAAAACTACTTAAAGTCATTGTTCGAGTTAAGGAATTTCGAAGATGTTTCGATTGGTCAAAAATAAGGAACAATTTAAAGAAACATGTGAATAATGCCTTTGTGTCAATGTTAATATAGTTTTTATCTACTATATAATTAAATTTATTTCAAATCTCAAAAACGAACAATAATGAAAGTCATGCCAAGATATTATAGAAAGTCCTAAGACTTTGTAAAAAAAGAAGTACATCAAGGAGAAAAAATGATGAAGATAAACACAAGTGAACTTCAATTTAGAATATTGTGTTATATATCTATTTGAAAGACCATGTGTAAAGATATATCTGCACGCATATACAATTTGTATATATATATATTTCTTATAAGATGAACGGGTATAAGTGCCTTAATATTGCTAATTATTTAAAAAAAATGATTTGTTATTCCTCGCTAAAAGTATGCATGCCACATTATTTACACAAAAGTTTGCAACCAAAAATGCTTGAAGTATAAGTCTGCAACCAAAGTGTGCTTGAACAATATATTTCTGTGTATTGAACGTTATCTTCGGACTTGCGAACTAAACCTTTTGTACAGCATTGACAGAAACATATTTTGTTATTGTTAAATGCTGTTCAAAACTTACAAAGTCGAATAAATTAGGAGTAAAACCGACCAGAACAGTCACATGTCAAATTTCAAAATATCTACATGATCAGTTTATATCTTCAATAACTTCGTCAAAACAGAATCTATGATGGTGAAACCTTTAACCGAGTGTGGCAAATATATTGCATTATGGAATAGACATACTAATAAACTTCAAAATAACAAAGAAACCCACTTGCCTGGCAATAATTCGTTCACCTGTTTCAAAAAATTACGCCGTGTTCGCCATTTTGTCAAGTTTGCAACTAATTCGCTCGCTTGAACCAAGTGTGCAACCACTTCACGTCCTGCCCCTTGTTTATGTTATGACATGATAATGTTACTTACTTTTGTATATTATGCGTGAATTCAAAGTCAGCGGTCAAGGTTGCATGGGGTGATAATTAGCTGTCTTTGTAACAGTTAAACCATCAGATTAACATACATGAAGTATAAAGGCTTATATTACTAGGTATTGCAATATTGATCATTACTGCGTTGATGTTGTTTTTCTGTAAATTGTAGAAAATAGACATCCTGAATAGACATCATTACAATTTAGTTACCTCCCTTTGTGAAAAGGAAGTTTAACAGATAAAAAATTGAGGTCAGTATTTATAAATTTCTTTTATCCATGTACTTGCTAATTATTTGAAATGCGTCAAGAAAATAGTAATTATTTATCACCAATAATTTTCAAAAAGAAAGGTGATTAAATTAGCATTTCCGAAACTAAAACAGACATAGACTCGGAAAAGAGCTGAATCTAATTTCGACAACATTAAACAACAGTTACTGTCAAATAATGACTTTAAGAGTGAGCTCCCTTGATCGATGTATATACAGTCTACACATAGTTGGGAAAGAAAAAATATGTTTTTTTAGAAGAACTGTGTTTATTGTTCTTTTGTTTTTTTGTATGTAAAATAAACATTTGATATATATAATATACATGTATATACTGTAGTATTTTACTACTAAGTAATTTATATACACAGTAGATAGACCTATTTTTCAAAAAGACGTTTTGTCAGTAGATTTTTATTGAAAGAATAAATGTGTGTGTTATAGATAAAAGTTTGTAAAAATCACGGCGGGAAGTTGTCACAAAGGGAACTCGATCAAAACAGTAAAGGGAACTCGATCAAAACAGTAAACATGGTAAACATTTGCCATCAAATGCCTATGGAAGGGAGTTGATGCAGTTGAAACTTGTAATACTATGCACCGGTCAATTATAACAACGACCCATCTCCTCTGCACCCGAAGAATAGCGCCGCTGCAATTTCAAAATATGCCCAAAGCTACCGCTTTGATCCCGGAAGTGCGGGGACAGACGAACGGTGATAACTTTTTCACTTTGTTCAATACTTTCGGTTGAAGATGTGGTTCAAGGCTGTAGGTATATAAGAAAAAGAAAAAAGTCATTTAAGAAACATTGATGAGAGACATCTATTCACATATCGTGGATTTTGCTAGGGCGCTTTTTGTGATCTTGCCTTAAAGCCATATATAATGCAAGTCATTGATCAAAATTGTCTAATAATAAACAGGATTTATACTTTATAACATACTTTTATATTATAGATGGATGGAGAATTTTACAAGTTATTCCCATATAAAGTGCCTGTGTGGGCCGATCACCTACAAAGTATACCGTCACATTTTGTTAAAGTAAGTACATCTTCTATATCATACTAATATGATAATTCTAAACAAGATTTAAGATATATACTCAATACACAATACATGTAAATTTGAGGTAAATAACAATTTACAAATGTTAACGAGGTTAATAGTATGTAACTCACACATCTTACAATATTCTTTTAACATAGACAGGAGAAAGTTTAACATTCATTCAAAATAAAACGAATTATTTCAAAAATATTTATCAAAGTTTAATATAATAATTCAGTTCCATATTTTTCTAAGATTATTTTTATAAACATGCAAAGTTTTTTTTATATATCACATAATTAGAGGAAGTACATATGTTACATTAATATGCAGCGTGTCAACTCTGTTTGCTTGAAGTTACAAGTCTGCAGCCACTAAACAAGCTAATTAGCCTTATTAATCATGCAGATGAAAATGGTTTGTTGACCTCACCGACTCTTACTAGTTTGTGATGAATTTACAAATATCGTAATACCTAGACTTGGCAATGCTTATCGGAAGCATCTTTAAGAGATGCATGAAATGTAGATTATAATCTACAAAAAATTATAGGAATTCTATGCTGTTTCGCGAAACTTAATTTGTATGTGTGAGCGCACGTGTCTGTGTTTATGTTTCTTTTTACATTTAACGAAAACGAACTTAAAACTGATGTCGAAGTGAATAAAATATATAAGAACAATGTCTGAATCTCTATACATGTATTTGCATTACTTTCTGCAATATGATTAACAATATACATGCATTTAGCATGCGTCAAAAGCCGCCTTATGTTTTACAATATTGCAACGTGTATGATACAAAATTTGAATACTCTCTAATTTTTACATTTGTATATCTTGTTATATAATTGCAGCTTTCAAATTTGAACACCCCCTTGCATAGATGGAATTTTGCTGGTTTACCGGAAGGTGTTGAGATATTTATAAAGAGGGATGATCTCACTGGTACAGAACTCTCAGGAAATAAGGTAAATATTAAAACCCATGATAAAAAGTCAAAGTGCTATCTTTAGTAAAGAAGGTACATTAAAATTATAATACAGTGATATCTTGCTCCAATTATTAGTATAATTACATAAGATATATATTATTTTGTTTTATCATTTTTTGAACATAACAGCAATAACGTAGCTGGTGGATCTTTAAATGCTAGTAAGGACTTAATCTGTTCAATAGTTTAGATCGGCACTGACCGAATTCGTTATGAATACGACCGGAATGTTTCAACTGAGAAATCACTTAAATCAGAGCTTTGATGCTTCTTATGTTTCTTAATAGTCTAGTTTTATTCATAGGTTCGATCACTACAGATATTGTTTGGTGAGGCCTTGGTCGAAGGAGCAACCCATGTTGTCACAGGGGGCGGACCTCAGTCCGGACATTGTCGAGCAGTTTCCCTTATTTGTAGGTCACTGGGTTTAAAACCACACATTGTGATTGAAGGCGTTGAGAAAGTATGTACATCATCTACATACTGAGTTAATATATACATTCACATCATTTTTTTCAGTCAATATGTAGAGGATATTCAAGTTTTTTATAATATAAATACAGGATTTATTTTCATCGTGTCGGTCATACCACAAGATGAAGATAAATCCTGTATTTATAGAACAAACTTGAATTTTCTGTTTATTATATACATTTTTCACTGTTGAAAGACTTCCCTTTAAATTTTGTGTATTGTCTGGATTTTAATAGGATTCTGGCAAGACACCAGTTAAAATACCGGAAATGTTTCACTGTAATGCTTTTTACCCGATTTTTTATTCGAGCTTAGTTCAAATTCACTTTAATAAACAATTTACATGAAATCTTAATTTGATATGCTTGATATAATTATGACATATATTTAGTATATAATGATATTGTATTTATGCACGTGTAGAAAGCAGATCTGGGGTCTATGGGTAACACGTTGTTGTACAGGATGGCTGGGAGTAAACTTTATCTGGCACCTCAAGAAAACTATGAGTGTTTCAAAAGAAGAGTCAGTAAAATGGAGCAATTTATTAGGTAATTATGTCTATAGATTCCACATCAAGTTTCAATAACTACATAATTATAACATATTTGTGAAATTTATTAAATGTTAATTCGCATTAAACTAAACGGGATATAAAAAAATTAAAAAGCAAACATGAGAATCATTTTTTAAAAAATCAAAAATAGAAATAGTATTTTTATTTACTTTCAAAAACTAATTGCTTACATCTTTGTTATGTCTTTCGCACGTTGAAACCCTTTTAAAGAGATACTTATTTGGAAACTTTATAAATCCTTTTTATTCTTAATTTGTTTAAATTAACCTTTTCAAATGTCATTCAGTGACACATACAAAGAGAAGTGCTACTGTATTCCGGTAGGCGGGGCAACCGTTAAAGCAGTTTTTGCATTTATATCATTATTTGAAGAACTTCTACAGCAGGTATATATATCATAATATTAGTTGTTTTTTGTTTTAATTAAAGTCGGTTCAGTGCGTGTAGATTTGCTAAAAGTGTATTACCATTTTGGTAATTCTGACATTACATGTCCAATGGGTTTACAATATATGCCCATAGGGGTTTACATAATAGGTCCATGGGGTTTACAGTGTATGTCCATAGGGGTTTACATTATATGTCCATGGGGGTTACAGTATATGTCCATAGGGGTTTACATTATATGTCCATTGGGTTTACAGTATTTCTATAGAGGTTTAAATTATATGTCCATTGGGTTTACAGTATATTTCCATAGGGGTTTACATTATATGTCCATAGGGTTTTACAGTATATTTCCATAGGGGTTTACTTTATATGTCCATAGGGTTTTACAGTATATTTCCATAGGGGTTTACTTTATATGTCCATAGGGGTTTACAGTATATTTCCATAGGGGTTTACATTATATGTCCATAGGGTTTTACAGTATATTTCCATAGGGGTTTACTTTATATGTCCATGGGGTTTATATTATATGTCCATGGGGGTTTACATTATATGTCCATGGGGTTTACAGTATATTTCCATAGGGGTTTACAGTATATTTCCATAGGGGTTTACTTTATATGTCCATGGGGTTTATATTATATGTCCATAGGGGTTTACATTATATGTCCATGGGGTTTACATTATATGTCTATGGGGTTTACAGTATATGTCCATAGGGGTTTACATCATATGTCCATGGGGGTTACAGTATATGTCCATAGGGGTTTACATTATATGTCCATTGGGTTTACAGTATTTCTATACTGTAGAGGTTTAAATTATATGTCCATTGGGTTTACAGTATATTTCCATAGGGGTTTACATTATATGTCCATAGGGTTTTACAGTATATTTCCACAGGGGTTTACTTTATATGTCCATGGGGTTTATATTATATGTCCATAGGGGTTTACATTATATGTCCATGGGGTTTACAGTATATGTCCATGGGGTTTACAGTATATGTCCATGGGGTTTACATTATATGTCCATGGGGTTTACAGTATATGTCCATAGGGGTTTACATTATATGTCCATGGGGTTTACATTATATGTCCATGGGGTTTACAGTATATGTCCATGGGGTTTACATTATATGTCCATGGGGTTTACAGTATATGTCCTATATATTCACGTGACTTTAAGTGATCATCTGTCTTGTTTTACGTTACTACTATAACGTTTTTGTAAATTTCAACAGTTAAATTCATTCATATCTAACAATTATTTTCTTTGCATGATCCTTCGATAGGGATTGCACGACCGCTTCGACGATATTGTAGTAACAGTAGCGACTGGAGGAACTTCCCTAGGATTAGCTGTAGCCAACTTTATAACGGGATCAAAACTAGGGTAACAACTTAATACTATTTTACTTCTTTACTTTTATCTTTAGATTTTATTTGTTATATCATAAAACTTCTAAAGAAACCGATGATGTGTGACAGTGCAATTTGAAATATTTTGTTTTATAGAATCGTTTCATAAAATTTTGAAACAGAATTTTAGTTTTTCGTTTTGCAGAAATAAGAGTTGACATACCACCTATTTGATATACAAGATTACTTTAATTGTAATGAGCCCTTAGACTACTGGCAGCGACTGAATCAGAGGTTATCCAAAGCTCTGACTGAATCAACCCACACGAGTTTTACAGACCATAATCAGCAAGTACAATTTGTATCCATGCCGTCTGAACAGCTCTTCAGTTAATACTTATTTTTGAATTTTCACAAAAGTGGTTGCTGGTCCAGATTAAAAGGACTATAAAGATGTTTGGAATGACATTGGTTAATAGGCCTACACTAATCTAATATAAGAAAAATATTACGGCATTTATATGTTCATTTTTCATCACCAGAGTCCATGCCGTGACGATTGGGCTTCGAAAAGAAGAGTTGTATGAAAATATGAATGGTTTACTACATAAGCTAGGTTTAGACTCTGTAAAATCTGAAGACATTCTTGATATTATAGAGGGTTATATTGGAGAAAGATACGGTACCGCGACAGATGAAGTTCTGAGTGAGTTTACTGAAAAATAGTATAAAAACACCCCCCCCCCCCAAAAAAAAAAAAAAAAAAAAAAAAAAAATTAAAAAAATAAAAAAATAAATAAAATAAAAAAAAGGAAAGAAGCAAACAAAAAAACCACCATGCTCGGGATTCGAACTACTGGCTTAAAAAACCTGCAAGCAGATATATCGAATCCCTGATCTAGTTGTATATATAGAGTGAACATGCAATCACATATAACAATATATTGTAAAGATAAGGGCAATAGTATGATAGATATTAACTATGGACTCCCTTAAAAAGCAAGGAATATGCGAAACGTGAATAGCACAAGCACTGTCTCTTCCGTTGAAAGATTGAAAGAAAAGTTGAATGCAACTGCAGAGGAAGTCAGGTATCCTTATCTTGTTGACGGATGATTAATAGCCATTGTTTTTGTTTGATTAAATTTGATATGTACCATTCTAACACGCTTTACATAGTATAAAACAGAGGACAATCAAGTGCACTTTTACACGATATATGTACAACATAAAGAACGAATGCTTACATGTTATTCGACGTCAGATTTGACGTCAAATAAGCAAATGACGTCAGAAATATTACTTCTACTCAATATAATTGAGCCGCGCAATGACAAAACCAACATAATTGGTTTGCGACCAGCCTGCGCATCCGCGCAGTCTGATCAGGACCCATGTTATTCGCTTACATACTCTTTAACAAGCAGAGAAACTGATAGCGAACAGCATGGATCATTGATTAGACGCGGTTGCGCAGGCTGGTCTGGATCCATGCTGGTCGCAAACCCATTAGGTTGGTTTTGTCATCGCACGGCTCATATTCTTATCAATTATCTAGTTTATTTGCATGTTAGAATGGAAATAGTACAATAATGCACGCTTTATCGTTCAAATGCTTTGTAATAGATCACTCCCGAGAAGGCATATCGGCCATCGTGATTATATTCGTGCATTAGTCTACAACAATGCTCTCAAAAGTGATATATATTTCTTAATTTTGTAAGGCTCATGCATAATAAATTACTCGTACATAATACTTAACTTTTAGATTTCATTACAAGAGTCAGCTCAACTACAGGGATTTTACTTGACCCATACTACACTGGAAAAGGGGCACTGGGAATGATTGGAGAGCTGGAAAACAATCCATCAAGATTTAAAGGAAAAAGAATACTTTTTATACATACAGGTAAATGTAAAATAAAGCATATATGTACGATAACAAATCACAAAATTTACTGGCTTTGCCCATTTTATCGGTAATTCATACATTTCATACATGACTGTAGGCAAAATTGTTTTTCACTTTGTCGACACCAGACATGATAAAATAGAGAGATACGACTGAAACTAATCCGGAGGCCTTTAAAGCATAATTTTAAGCACAATTTAGAACATTGCTTCAAATCGTTGTTTTACAAACAATCGTAACTTATTTTGGAACTAGTCGAAGATCAATTATGTAGTTCTAAATGTCATATGCTCAGAATTTCGGGAGTTTTTGGATCAGAATATTTTCCTAATTATTACATTATCGTACGGCAGATAAAAGTATGGCACCTGGAGGGACATTTAAAAGAGAGAGAGAGAGAAAACAGCTAACTAGGTCCGTAGTTTATAAAGTATAGTCGCTGTTGCTGCTAGGAGCGATTTTGATACTTCCATTTCCGATTTTGATACTTCCATTTCCGCCTGATTGGCAAATCTTTGAATGCATACAACTTATGTCTGAAAAACGATAGACATTGATAGCGATGTAATTTTGCCCTTTTTTATTAGCTCACCTGTCACAAAGTGACATGGTGAGCTTTTGTGATCGCTTTTCGTCCGGCGTCCATCCGTCGTCTGTCCGTCCGTCCGTAAACTTTTACTTTAAACGAGATCTCCTCATAATTCACTTTGCCAATTTCATCCAAATTTCACAGGAATATTCCTTTGGTAGTCAACTTTAAAAATTGTTCAAATAATTTAATTCCAAGTAGAATTCTGGTTGCCATGGCAACCGAAAGAAAAAAAACTTAAAATATCTTCTTTTAGGACACCGTCAGAGCTAGAGCTTACTATTAGGCATGAAACATCACCTAGTCAGGGTCTACCAAGTTTGTTCAAATACATGCCCTGGGGTCAAAATTGGCCCCGCCCGGGGGTCATTGATTTTTCTTATTTGTATAAACTATAGTAAAAACTTAAAAAGTCTTCTTTTAAAAACCCCAATAGCTAGAGCTTAGCTAGCTATTAAGCATGAAATATTTTCTAGTGGGTGTCTACCAAGTTTGCTCAAATAAAAGCCCTAGGGTCAAAATTGGCCCAACCCCAAGGGGGTCATTGTTTTTCCCTTTATGTATATAGTAAAAACTTTTAAAAAAATCTTCTTTTAAAAAACTTTTAGAGACAAAGCTAAGATATTTAGCATAAAACATCTTCTAATGGGAGTCTACCATTTTTGTTCAAATAAGGGCCCAGGGGTTAAAATTGGCCCCGCTCCGGGGATCATTGATTTTCCTTATATGCATAATATTATACTGTAAAAACTTAAAAATCTTCTTTTAAAAAACCCAAAGAGCTAGAGTTTAGATATGAAGCATGAATTATCTGAGTGTCTACCAAATTTGTTCAAATAAAAGCCCTGGGGACACAATTGGCCCCGCCCAGAGGGGGGGGGGTGTCATTGTTTTTCCCGATATGTGTATAGAATAAACTTAATCTTATTAGAGATAGAACTTAGATATTTATCATGAAACATCTTTAAATGGGTGTCTACCAAGTTTCTTCAAGTAAAAGCCCCTTAGTTAAAATTGGCCCCGCCCCAGGGGTCTATATACAGGTGAGCGATTTTAGGGCCATCATGGCCCTCTTGTTTGCTCTTTCTACATAATAAATATGTCTTGAGAAAAAGTTATTTATGAATTATTTCTTGTAGTCTGCCACTTTATACGTCTGTAGTCTTTAATATAAGTATGCATTTATTATTCATTTTTTCCCTCTTAGATGTTCTAGTATTAAAAATCTCTGAAAAGTCATTAAACTACTTGAATTCTTTAGCTTTCCATTGATTAATTACATTAAAGGTGGAATATTTGGTTTGTTCAATGGCGAAATGGACAGAATCATAGACAAGGAGGAGGCAGTTACAAATGATATAACATCTTGGCCGGATGAAAGTGTATCTCCAGTTAAAAAAGGAAATTAAAATGTGTTTATATATCACAAGTCAATTTTACAGTGAATTCTTATTGCAACATAATTTGGTCACGCAATCTGTAGAATGTATTAAATTGTATTAAAACAGTTGAATGTTTTACACTCATTCAAGTTTTTCTTTTACAACTGATATAATTTAATCCCTAGGCTTAGTTGCCAATAACTATACATGTGTAAAAATGAGAATATAAATCAGCATGGTAAAGCGACGCTTACAGAACGCAGCCCCGAAACACCAGCAGGACACCTAGAAAACACCGAACCAAAAAACGGGAGTGGGCACCAGTGCGTTGAAAGGAGAGGAGGGAGATGAAAAAAGTGAAATGATAAGAACTAAAAGGGCCACGATAGACAAGGTTTGGGTGTAAGGAAAAGGGGAAAATGGCATCGAATGGGATATTTACCTCTAAAACGGCAATTTAACAAGACATGACATCACAACACGAAACAGTACACAAGACATACATGTAAAACATGTGAAGGGAAACAGAGGGATACCGCCTTAATTAAAGAAGTTAACCAGTAATAAATAGATTGCATTCACGAAATAAAACCATCCTAGCAAATCTAATTAACTGATTAATGATAGAAATTTTAAATAAAAAAACAAAAACAAAGAAACAACAAAAAACAAAACAACAACAGATTCCGGAAACAATGTGATCCCTCGGAAGCATTAATCACAACAAAATAACATAAGAATTGCAGACTCGGTTTGACTGAGTCTGTACATGAGGGATAATGAATAAGTGCAACATCCCTCAGGCCCCCTAGCACCGGCTTGAGCGGTACTCAATTCTCAACACTTTATAGTGTTGGCATCAATGATCCCGAAGGACCAGAAAATATAACAACACTGAAGTGAAGTACGGGGCAACTTTTTACGGCTGCCACACGGCACTTGACATCTGCTGTTGTGAAGTACAAAATTCTGGAAACAAAGTGATCCCTCGGAAGCATTAATCACAACAAAATAACATAAGAATTGCAGACTCGGTTTGATTGAGTCTGTACATGAGGGTAATGAATAAGTGCAACATCCCTCACGCCCCCTAGCACCGGCTTGAGCGGTACTCAATTCTCAACACTTTGATGTACATTGTAGTAATGTCTGCATGTAGAGTGTTTCATTCGATTTAAGTGCACCTTTATATATTTTAGTAACAATTTGATCAAAATAAGGATTATTTATGTAAGGTGTATTATGTAGGGGAAAGTATTATTAAATGCAAGGTTTGTTGTGAATTTGAGAGACTAAACATAATATAGCCTACGCCACATAATATAGCCTAAGCCTCGTAGCAATGTAAAAATAAATCCTTTATGTTTGCACCTGGCAAGACTCAGCAGTTTATTTATGTCACGATAAGGTAGAACAAATACTAAATCGGATGAAAATGTCCAGTCCAGAGGGCACTGGACTGTTTATTTAAAAATAAAGAAAGAAAGGCATATAAAGCTTATATAAGTAAAAAACATGACATAAAGTTGGACAGCAATTCGTCCTGTACAAATAAAAGTAACATGTAGTAAAACAAACAATATCAAAACTAGGCAAGGAGTTGTGGTGGGGTGGTGGCGGTAGAGTGAAAAAAATTTCAGATAAAAATTTGCGTGCGACACCAAATTTTATAGTTAGCTGTCAGATGCCTTTGTAACAGTTAATTTAATAATCAGATTAACCCAATACCCGATTACACGCCTTTTAACGCCTTTCCCCCTCCCTTTTTGTTGTCTCAAATGGTGAAAAAATGCCTTATTTAGGCCCCAACACTTCATTTTGTTTGAGAAATGTTGTTTAAAAAAGTGACCACTTTTTCGGCGCGGCCCCCCAACCAAAAGATACATCAGGGGGTTGCCAGAAGGGGGATGTTTTGGGGTTCGAAGGGGGGCGGCAGTCCCCTCATTGCCAAGAAAATTTTGAACATAAAGAGGCTAAAAATGACCCCAGATCGATCATAATGTAACGTGTAACTAACGCTGAAAAGCATTTAACTCTATCCCAATCCATTGAGGAGTTGCAGCACTTTGAAATCAATTTTGATCGAAAAAATCAACGCAAAATAGTGATTTTTAGCAATTAATTAAAAAATAGAGATGTCCCCTCGTTGCCATGGTAACAGGAAATTTAAGACTGGACATGTTGTTACAAAGGCAATGGTCCAGTCAACATTTCTGCCAAGTTTGATTAGTATTGAAGCACTTTTTATAGTTTTATAGCAATTTGAACTTGTAACGGGAGACTTTTCAACGAAAACGGCCATTTTTCACAAAATGCTCATGAAGTAATGGGTTAACATACATGTGCAATGTAGTATAAAGGCTTACTAGAGTTTTGCAATATTAGTTATTAATGCGTTGATGTTATTCATTAGAATTATTCCTGTAAACTGTAGAAAATAGACATCGTGATAAAAAAGAACTAAAGAAAAATCTTATCTTTACAATTAAGTTTCCTGTAACAGTTTTTGATTTACATACTAAGTACAGACCTTCCCATGATGCTTTAGTTATGTTAACTGCGCATGCTTAGTAAATACAATGTATACGCACTCTGCTCTATGTATTAGCTCTGTATGACTAGCTTAATATATAAACGTACGTTTGTGGTCTTACCTGCACCAAGAAACATGGTGTCAGAAGTATAAAACTGCTTATATACGCAAAAAGGATTAAATGTGACCCTTTGCTTGAAGCATAATTCGTGTAGTGGTGGATTTATTAATCTTATAATTTACGTGCAAAAGTTTAATATTTGGACATATTAGCACAATTATGAGTGCCGATGAACGGACCGAACCGCCAACACCCGCTGCGCACACATCAAATGCTGTGTCGTCGTTGATTCCTTTCCAACAGAAATTGGATTTAGACGGAAATGTATCAACAAACTGGAAGAAATTCAGACGTGGCTGGATTTATTACGAGAATGGACTTAACCAAAGGATCTAAGAGCAGCAACATTTTTAACATGCATAGGGCCTGAAGCAATGGATATATTTTGCGGGTTTGACTTTGCAAATGAAACAGACAAGAACGATATCGACATTGTCATTGATAAATTCGAAACGTTCTGTGTTGGCAAAACCAAAGTGACATTCGAACGTTACGTCTTTCACAAGGTGAGACAGAAACATTTACACAAACATGTTATTAATTAATCAAAACAAAACTGTGTGATTTCAGTTAGACAGCGGAGCTACAGCAAATATTTTACCGAAGTCGACGTGCCAGACGAGATAATGGAGAAAACTAACATAACGTTATCAATGTATGACAAATCAAAAATGAAAGCTTGTGGTACGTGTAAATTAGTTTTGAAAAATCCCAGGACAAGAAAACGATATGAGGTGCGGTTTATCGTAATTGAAAATGATACGGCTTTTCCGTTATTAGGATCTGAGGCAATTCAGAAAATGAATTTAATTAAGATACAATATCATAACATTTATCCCGTCAGTGTTGATAAAAACTCTAAATTAACTATGGAAAAAATTCGTCGGTATTTGAGGGCGAAGGACGATTTCGGGGAAAACTACACTTGGAATTTGATGATACAGTGAAACGTGTGAAAATACCACTCAGAAGAGTTCCTATTGCAATGAAAAGAACTAATAAAACTTGAGAACATGGGCAAAATAGCAAAAGTTAACACTCCAACAGACTGGATATCAACTTAAGTAATTGTGAAGAAAATATCAAATGCGCTTAGAATACTTAGAATATGTAAAGATCCAAAAAAATTTGAACACTGCTTTGAAAAAAAGTCATTTTCTGCTACCAGTGGTTGAATATGTGTTGTCTGAACTAAAATTCTGCAAAAGTATTTTCAAAATGCGATGTAAAAAATGCTTTTCGTCATGTGGAGCTAGATGAACAGTCAAACTATTTGACAACATTTGAAACGCCATTCGGACGATATCGCTTGCTTGTTATGCCATTTGGTATTTCACCAGCACCAGAGTACTTTCAACAATACCTGGAAAAGAATTTGGAAGGGCTACCGGGTATAAAAGCGATCGCAGACGACATAATCATTTATGAAACAACGTAGCGAAACTACTAGAAAGATGCCAAGGGAGAAATATTAAGCTAAATAAAGAAAAATTTCAGTTGCACAAAACCGAGATGTCGTTAGCAGAACATTTGATGACAGACACAGGGGAGAAACCTGACCCGTCTAAAGTAGATGCAATTATGAGCATGGCAAGACCCACAGACAAGAAAGCTGTACAACGTTTTTAAGGCCTCGATAACTACTTAACGAAGTTTTTAGATTAACTAAGTGAACTATGTGAGCCGTTAAGACAATTGACACATAAAGATGCAGTATTTCAGTGGACAGAAATCCACGATGAAGTGCTTGACACGCTTAAACAGGCAGTGTGCGATGCTCCAGTATTACGATATTTTGACCCAGAGTCTGAAGTTACTCTTCAAACGGATTCCTCAGAAGCCGGTCTTGGATGTGTATTGTAACAAAAAGGACAGCATGTAGCATATGCAAGCCGTAGTTTAACAAATGCAGAAAGGAATAATGCAATGATAGAAAAGGAGCTATTAAGTATCCTGTACGGAATGACCAAATTTCATCAATTTAAATATGGAAGAAAGGTTATTGTTGAAAATGACCATAAAGCATTGGAAATAATTAGTAAGAAAAGTTTGTACAAGGCACCAAAACGATTACAAAGAATGTTTCTAAAATTAGGAACACATGACTATGAGATTAGTTATAAGAAATGCAAACATTTGTATATTGCGGATACACTATCAAGAGTATATCTGACCAAGGACAAAGCTACATCACTTGAAGAAGTATTACTTTCAGATTACGAGAAAGAAATCGAATCCACTGATATGTCAGATATTATCTAGCGGTGTCTCCTCAAAGACAAACACGAATTAAACAAGCAACTGCTGAAGATTCGACTCTTCAGAAATTAATCGGATGGATAAAGAATGGTTGGGACGGTGTCCATCCTAACGAGGTTTCTCCATACTTTGCCAGTGTAATACAAGGACTATGTTACATAATTATATATATACACACTGTAGAAATTGTGAGACTGTGTACTAAAAATTAATATATGT